AATTTTATAACTAAGCAAAAAACATGTATAGATATAATTATTAATAATAATAATTAAAATCTAAAACTTAAAATTAAGAAATCAACAATTTTAAGAAATACAAATGTTATAACTTTCATTTTATATATTAATTTTTTATAAAAGTTTAGGTTGCCGTTTTAAAGTCGAAATATCTAAAATCTTACTGGGACAAGTTGTTCTAGGTGTTTGGTTAAATGGAAAACGTTGTAATGTTTTCAAATTACTTTTTGAATCTGTAATTTTTAAATCAACCTTTGGAGATCCATCATTTTTACCAATATCTGAGGAATAGAATAAAAATTTGTTATTTCTTATTGCTATTTTATTAATTTAATTTAATTAATTATAATATTATTAAAAAAATTATTTTATTTTTTTACCTTCTACTTGAATATTATTTTTTCCTGGAAGCAGTTGATATCTTTCTAAATAACGCATTGTGGCAAAAGACATATTTGTACCTTGAACATTGCTAACCATGAGATGCTGAAGAGATGAACTTTGTCTTTGTACTGCTAATTCAGCAAGTTGTTCATCACTTAGATATTTTAAAGCTAATGCCTTCATATGCATACTTGTATTTGTTTCATTTACAGCACTTGTAGTTTGTGTCATATTTGTTTGGTAATCCAAACGCGGATAAAATGATAAATCAAATGCTTTCCTTTTAAATAAATTCTTAAGGTTATTTATCATTCATAGTGCAAACTTAATTAAATAGAATATGTAAATTAAAATTATAAAGGACATTCGATAAAGGACTCATCATAAAAGTGCTTTTCATGCTTTTTTTTGTTTCATGTAAAATATAAAAATTATTTGATCAAAATTTTGATGATTATTTGAAGATCATTTTAAATTTTTTTAAGTAAAGTGTCATGTTTTTGTTTCGATATAATAACAAATATAAATAAATAAATTTATTATTTTTTTAAATAACATTTCTACAAAATGACTTTCTATATTTTTATAAAATAATCTTTAAAACTTTGATTAAACTATTTTTCATTATTATATTCTTTTCAACTTTTCATTATTATATTTTAAATAAAACATAATAGAAAAACATTGTCTTTCTTGTAGTATTAATCATTTAGTAATTATTTCAAATAATTATTAATAGATATTAATAAATTTTGTATTCACATTATAGATTTAATTATTAAAATAATTTTAATCTATTTTATATAAAATTAAATATATATATAAATATAACATCTATGATGAAGTGAAAAGCTACTTAGATTAAATTATATTATATATTATATTAATATAAATAAACAATTTCTTTAATGTATGAATTTTAAAAAAATGTAAAACATACTTGTTGCTATTGTTTGTTTCCTTAACTTCTGAATTTTCATGTAAACTAATTCCAAGCTTTTTGAGTTGTTCTAATGTAGCTACTTTTACAGTATCTAGTACTGCTTTATTTTCAATTTCATCTCGTTCATTTTGATTTATTTTTGTTTGTTGTTGATCATCTATAATACAAGAATTTTGCAATAATTGATTTACTCGTCCAATAACATTATTATAAAATGTCCAGCCCACTTTTGAACTATGTTTAATATGTTCGCTATCATCATCACTAGAGTACTCATTCATTTCAACATGAATACTAGGTTCTGGACTAGGTGGTCTTTCATTTATTTTCAAATCATCACCATTTAAAATCAAACTATCTTCAATACTATTGATTTTTTTAAATCTAGAAATCTGTCCTTCTTTTTGATAATCATTATAATAATTAGATTTATTTACAAAGTTACTTGTTTGTATAGATTCATTATCTTGTATATTTTGTTTTTTATTTTGATCCATATTAGTAAGAATATTTTCTTTAAACTTTCTACTTTTTTGAATATGATTTTCAGCATTTTCTGCATTTCTTTGTATCATTGATGTTTTTATAGTTTTATAGTCTGTTTCTTCCTCTGTACGATTTTTTAAATGTTTTTTTATTTTATTTTCAGTTTCATTTAATTTTATTGTTATATCTTTACATAATTTTGGAGATTCAGATCTATGAATATGTGTTTCTCTTCGTACATCTACATATGTTTGTTTTTCTAAATCTTTTGTAGAAGTACTTGCATTTAAGTTACTGCTTTGTTGTTGACTAGATGACATATAACTTTCTGAATCTTCAACTATATTTTCTAATTGTGCACCAGGTATTCGAGTAAAAGAATTCTTATATCTTCTTAATGATTCATTGGTATCAAGACAAACATTATTACGCATTTTAAAATTTTCTTGTTGGCTATCTTTTTTTTCATAATTTTCAATATCCATTGTAAAAGGATTATTTTGTACAGTAAATTCAAAACTTGTCATTACACCAATTGAAACTTTTTTTTCCATAAATGTTTTTTTTGATTGTGCATCTGTTAATATCAATTCATTTTGATTTATATTTTCATTTTCGTTATAATTATCTTTTCTTTTATCTTTAAGAGGTTGTTTTTGATACATATTTTTTTTTGTATTTTCTGGTACAGTAACATAATTAGAAACACCTAAAATATTATTATTAGAATTTGCATATAATTGATCATGTTCTTGTGACTGAAATGAACAAGAACATCTTTTCTTTTCTCTTAAATTTTCTTCTTGCATTTTCAGTAATCTATCTATTTGTATTTGTAAAGATTTAATTTGTTCATTTTGACTATTTATAATCTGTAATAAATTCTTTACTGTTTCTTGATTATCTGTGTTATGAGTAGAATATGGAAGTTGAGGAAATGAATATGAATTCATATTAAAATAAGGATATTGTCCTAAATAATGTGGTAATTGAAATTCATTTTGTTGCAATTTATTTGGATTAATAGATAAATTTTGTATATTTGATTCAGGAACTGAATCATTATATGGTACTTTCTGTTTAGAATCATTAATTGTCAGCTTTCTTTTGTGTAACGATGGGGAATATTCATTTTCATTAATAATATAATTTTCAGCATTAATGCCAGGCTTATTAATATGTAACATAGCAGACATAGAATCTACATGTCTTTTTTCATTACATTCTGTATCCTGTTTTCTTTCTATATGAGTTACATTATTCTCAGATATTTCATAATTATATTTATGAAAACAATCATCATTTTTTCTATTTATTTCTCTGTTTTGTAAAGAATTAAAAATATCTGTTCTTGAAGTATCATTTTTTTCTTAGATTTATTTGAAGTATTTACAATGTTATCTTCTACTTTAGATTGTTCTTTATGAGAAATTGTATAAGAAGATGGATGTTTCCATGAGTAATTTTGTTCTTTCCAAGATGCATATGATCCATTAACATTTAATGAAGAAGAATTATTATTTTTACATATTAAACTCTTAGGTTTTATGAATGGTGAATGAAAATTTGTATTTTCTGAAGTCTTAAAACTCAAAGGTTTATCAAATATTAAAGAAACTTCAGGAACTGATGGCACTGTAAAACACTAAAATTTATTAAAAACATAAGTTATGTTATAAGTTTAATGTTAAAATTGATTATATATAATCAATTCTTTAATTAAAATATATTATTTTTCAGATATTTTTCAGTTTTTAAATTTTAAATAGATAAAAATTTTAATAAAACTTATTATTCACAAATTTATTATGTTTGTTAATATTTATTCTTTATTAATAGTTATAATAGATATTATTCTTTTTTTATTAATAGATATTAAACTTTTATTTTATTTTTTATGAAATATTTATTAAATATAGACAAAATAAATAATTTTATTTTAAATTTACCAATACTATTTACCAATAAAAGATTTAGAAAGATATTTTGTTAATAATTACTTAGAAAAAAACTTACATCAAGTTTAGATGCAGGTTTTGGTGTAAGTCTTGGTTCCAATTCATCTTCATCATAACAAAACATATTTTAATCTAAACTAATAATTATAATTTATATATACATTCACTTTTATTATAAAATTTTTATATATATATTATAAAAAATATTTTTAAAGAAATATTATCTAATAATTAAAATTTCAAATTTTCAGTAACAATTTTATGAATTATTTATATTATTTTAATATATATTATTTCTTATAATAATATTTTATTTAAAATACTTTTATTCTACTGGAAACTCATTTCAAACAAATTGTATAATAAATGATTCGAAACAAAAATATAGCCAACATAACATACATAGTAAATTCTAGTGAACAAAATATTTCACTAAGTATTTTTTAAATACGTTTAATAAATATTTATAAAAAATATATGCAATATTCATTATTCCTTAAATTTTTTAAACAATAAAAACAAAACAAATTTATTTTCTTTTAATATTTCAATTAAAAATAGTATTATTAGATATTAAATTGTTAATATTCAGATTTTTTTAATGTAAATTCTAATATAAACAATAAATATAAATTTTAATATATTATATATCATATATTAGAATTTATATTTTATTGTTTATAGAATATTCATTATTGTATAATCTTATTACATATTATATATAATATACATATTTTATAATTGTATTATATGTATTTTTTATTATATATTTAATAACTTATATATTTTATATTTATAATTAATTATTTTTGTGTAACTAAATTGAATTTAAAATTTAAAGACATTTTTATGAATAGAATGTATAAATAAAAAATTGATATTTTTTTATACTGTAATAGAAAATTTTTTATTTATGAATAATTTATTATTCGCAAATATTTAGATTATCTAAATCTAAAATACAATCTAATATATTATAATCTATATAAACATATAGATATTGAAATTTATATTGAAATTTAAGAAAAGAAAATTTTTTTATTTCTGATAACTTTATCATTTTTGATGATTAAATTGAATGTAATTTTCATCGATTTAAATTGTAAAAAGTTTTTTTGATTTCTTATACGAATATATCTTATATTAATAATTTAATACATGAAAGATAAAATCTTATTATGTATTTTATTTGTAATTATAGTTTCTTTGGTAGAAGTATTTCTTCTCTTCTCTTTTGTCTCTGTTTTATCAAGTGAAGATTAATTGGATATATGTGTATCAGTATGTATAGGATGATATTGATATATTGCACGGTGCACTACATTGGCAAATGATTGAAATTTTACCATTTAATATTAGACAAGATACAATAAAACTTTCTGATAAAATATATTATCATTATTAATTAAGAAAAGAACGATTTCAAGAATGCTTCACAAACACTATAGGAATACATATCGAGATCATTAGTGTGGCGTGGTATTCTAAATCTATGTCAGAGAGTTGTTTGACCTGTGATATCTTAGAATTTAGATATCGTCAATTCTGAAATCTGTATCTGATATGTATCGAAGTTCAGCGAAATTTTATTTATTATAGGTAATTATTATATTATTTAATGTCGAATTACACAGTAGTAATGTGTATTATAATGAATTAATGACATATGTCTTATACGTGATATGGACTGTGATACTTTAATAAATTGTGAAATAAACAGATTAATCCTTCGATTTAAAATGCAAATAATATAGGAACAACTAATCATAAATATTATAGGTGGGCAGATTTCTTGTATTTATGTTCCACAAATATTTTGCACAATTCATTCATTGCAATTTCATTTTAATCTTAATAGAGTTATTTTATTATTCATTACTAAACATTGATTCTTGATATTAAACAAATATATATTATATATTTATATAACAATTTATTTTTATGTTTATTAGGTTATCATACTATTGTATTTAAAAACAAAAATTTATAATGTTCCTATTTTATACAATACATATTGTATTGTCAAAAAGTAAATTATATCAACTGGAAGCCTAGTTATTCATAATATAAGGTTTGTATGAAAAAAAATATAAGTTTAATAAAATATGAAAATTAGATTTATTTTTATAAAATATTTTATAATTTTTTTTAATTGTTACTTATATTTAACTATTTATGTTATGAATTTTTAGATCTTTTCCCTTGTTATGGTGGCTGTGCAATTATTTAATCATTGGAATTTAATTAATCTTGAAATAAATATTTTTTTTGGATGAAAATATTAATGAGATATTTATAAAAGTATATAATCAGAGATGGCAATAATTTATTTTTATGCTTATATCCTTAATATTTGATAATCATCATAATGGTAAATACACATTTTAATTTAATTATATTTCTATATTAATAAGTTAGATATAATGATTTAGATTAAGAAATGTTCAATATAAAATAATAAAACTTTAGTATTTTTTTAAAGTGTTTCTTTTTTAAATGAATAAAAAAAAGAAAAGATTAAATAATAAAAGAAAAATAATTATATTATTAAC